CATTTCCCTTCACTTTGGATATTTTATATCTATACCTCCCTCATATTTGCTAAGCAGTATCTACATAATAAAGGTATAGTAGCCTGAATTATTAATACTCATCCTGAGAAAAGATCCCTACAGCTTCCAGCAAAAGTACTGGGAGTGTCTTTCATCTACAAGAGAGCTCTCAAGTGATTACTGGCTTGGATGTCTCAGAATGGTCCCAGAAGAAGATAAAATGTGGCATCCAAGGACAGATATCTCTGAGCTTTTGAGGATTGACTTTTCTCCATTCCAATTCTTCCACTTACCCATCAACCAGGAAATCATTATTGGGTGTCTAATATATGCCAGGCTCTATGCCAGGCCCTGCGGATATAATGATGAGAAAATAGCCATGTTCCCTCCCTCATGGATAGTCTTGTAAGGGAGATGGACATTAAGCACATCCTCACACAAATAACTGTATTATTATAAACTGACTATGTGCTATGAAGAATAGCCAAAGCTGCTATGAGAGCAACGCAAAATGAGAAAACAAAATTTAAAGGAAACCATACAATTAAATCTGCAATAGCACCAAAAATACTTAGGAATCAATTTAAGAAAAGATGTGAAAACCTCTATGCTGGCCACTAGAAAGCACCACCGAGAGAAATTAAACTCCTAAGTAAATAGAGATTTTATGTTCATAGGTTGGGCAGCTGGCTCAATATCATTCCAGTGTCGATGGTCTCAAATTGATCTATAGATTCAACATAATCCCAATCAAAATTCCAGCAGGTATTTGTGTAGAAAATAATTTATATAAAAATGCAAATGACCTAGAAAAGCTAAAGCAATTTTTAAAAGGAAGAACAAAGTTGGAGAACTTATACTATCTGATTTCAAGATTTATTCTAAAATGACAGTAGTCAAGACTACTGTAAGTGTAGAAGTGGGGAAAGGAAAGACATGAAGATCACCAAAGCAGAGAAGAGTCTCGAGGCATAGACCCGGTCAAAGCCATTTCAGTTCCAGTAAAGGCGCCAAGGCAACTCAACCGGGAAGGTCATGTCTAGAAGTGGATAGGTAGGTAAAGGTTTCTTAGGACATAAAAGCACAAGCCTTATTAGACTTTATAAAATTCAAAACTTTTGTTCTTCAAGAAACAGTTAAAAAAATGAAAAGGCAGGTCATAGAACAGGAGAAAATATATATAATACATGCATCTAACAGGTGACTAGTACCCAGAACATACTAAAGAACAGTAAAACCTCGATATAACAGACTAATTCGGGCCAGGGGGCGTCTGTTAAAGCCAAAAGTCCGCTATGTAATAAAGCAGGTTTTCCGAATGCGTACGTTAAAAAATTGGCAAGTTAGTTTACCTGTTTTTACTTATGTAGACGTTTGTGTAATTAAAATTAAGTACGTATGAAAGGTTTAATTTCACAGAAAAGCTTTCTATATGTATTACTGTAATTTTAAATTTATACTGAATAGGTCTAGTAAATGAGTGCATTCATCAGTCACCGCAAGGAAACAAATACACACGGCAGGGGCGCGGCCCAGCTCACTAGGAACATCAACCAGCACGCATTAAAACTGCTGCAGAAAGTCACCCCACAAGACAACAGGGCCAGTGACCACACTGGATGCAGGGTGATCACGTGCTCATCACTCACCCAACATTGTTTAGGAGTGGTGGCTCTTGGATTTAAATATGGAGACTGTAGTTGTAGATATGTAATATTTATGGGGGCGAAATTACTACAGCATTTTCTTAAACATATGGCCTATTTGCCAAAATTTGTTTAAAATAACAGTGAAGTCCTGGCCGGTGTGGCTCAGTGGTTAGAGTGTCATCCTGTGCAACCAACGCTTGCAGGTTTGATTCGCAGTCAGGGCACATACTTAGGTTGTGGGTTCGATCCCTGGCTGGGGAGAGTGTGTGAGACGATCATTCACTGTCTCTCTCTCCCCCTTCCTCTCTCTCTAGAATCACTGAGAGAGAGGAGCGTGACATCTCAGAATTCATGGAAAGAATTCGAGCTGGGAGTGGAAACTGTGCCGAATGCTAATAAAATAATAAGAAAATACCCACGAGGAATAGACCCTATGGAAAAACAGGGATGTAACCCAGATTCCAGTAGACTGAAGGGTGACTAAGAAATTAGCAAGTGGAGAAAGTGATTAGTCGTTTAGATTGTGGCTTCCACCTCCTAGCGAAACAAGCTGGGCTCTAATGAGGATGAGAGAAAACTGAACCTGCAGAGGTTGTGAAAGATGCTGCTTTTGTGAAAGCTCGGCCCTTGCAGAATTCAGCCCGAGAGGTTGCTTTCCTTCTCCTGTGACATAGGTGCACATCGTAAAATCATGAGTTTGAAAGTTTCCTTTACTCTGTTACCTTCATAACTACCATACGCATGAAGAGGGAGCTCGATGGCCTTCAACATACGTGGGGGAAGAGCAGGCAAGAAGGACAAAGCAGACCTACTCCCCAGCATCTGCTTTCCAGTACATTTTCCCTTTGCAATTAAATCCAGATCCTCATGAATATTGATAGAAAACCATAAAAGCAAAATGACCTAAATAAAATAAACGTAGTAGCGAGCAACAGAGCATGGTCTCCTCCCCAGCTCCCCTGTTGATCTGGGAAGTGCGTGTCTGTGCTGAGGGTAGGAAAGAAATGAAAAGCTAAAACTCCTTGGTTCTTGAGGAGANAGCATGGTCTCCTCCCCAGCTCCCCTGTTGATCTGGGAAGTGCGTGTCTGTGCTGAGGGTAGGAAAGAAATGAAAAGCTAGAACTCCTTGGTTCTTGAGGAGAGGAGAGAGGAAGGAAGGAAGGAAGGAAGGAAGGAAGGAAGGAAGGAAGGAAGGAAGGAATTAAGTATGTCCTTGAGAAAGAATGGAGATTCTGTGAGCAGGGATCAGGCCACAGATGGCAAAACAGGGACACATTCCTTAGGTCAAGAGGAAAACGTGTCCTGACTCTGTTTCCTCAGCTTCTAACCTGGAGCTGTCCGGGTGAAAATAGCGAGAAAAGAGCAGGGTAGCTCAGTGGCCAGGCCCCGTTCACAGGGAGAGAGAATATTTGGGAGGACGGAAAGGAGCTTGAGCACCATTTCCCTAGAAAGGGCCATGCAGGCACGGTGGGCGCACCGAGTCCCTGACACTTTCCCAAGTCAGATGGCATGTCTGTGTCCTCAGTTTCTGGATATTTTACCAAACGGCTCACTCTCTCCGAAGCCGTCCAACAGGCTTCAAAGGAGAGGCCACTTCCACTTACGCACTGGCCCATCTGCTTTACCTAAGCTACCTCACTGACCCACCCCAGAACCCCTGGGACGTACGTATCCCCATCCTCACTTGACTGAAAAGGACACTAAGGTTCAGAAAAATCAATCTGTCCAAAGTCAGAATGGAGGGACTTGGATTGAGCTCACACGTGCATGACTCTGAATCCCACGCCACTTCTTCCAGAACAAGAAACAGGAGAGGAGAGACCAGGCGAGGAGAGACCAATCTGTTTCAACTGAGGGGGTAAAAGAAGCTTACTGGGGGCACGGGGGGCAGGAGACCATATAGAGAGGTGGGGAAACAGAAGACTAAAAGGAGGCAGAAATCCTCTTTTCTGAGAATGAGCAGAATTACAGAAGAAATTGCCCAGCGAAGAGAATCTGACTTGGGATATGGGAAAAATGGCCAAGGTTGAAAAGGAATCCAGGGACTGGGTTTGGAAGTCAGGGTGAGGATCTCTAGGGTAAGAAGAAAGATGCTGGAGCCTTTTCCTTCAGGTTGGAGAGGAGACAGTGCTCAATTACTGACCTTCCTCTCTCTAGTCACATGACTTGTGCTGGTATAAAAGCTTTCTACCAGCCAGGTTCCTTACAATATTTTCCTGTGTGAAATGGGCGGTAGCAGTGGCTGAAGCTCTGTATCTCTTTCCCAGAAGCTTTCAGACTTTCTTTTCCAAGAAACCGTCTATCTGGAACGAAGACAAGGCAAGGCGGCTTGCTCGGTGCTTGCACCCTGGGAAGTGATGGCAGGCTCAGAAGTGGGAGGGGAAGGTGCTGGGGGGCTGCAGGAAGTCGGCCAGAAATGGAATGTAAGGACCTTACCTGGAGACGGGAGCCAGTGAGGGGGGCAAGGAAACGCGGCCTGGGACATCAAGCCCCGGAGGAGGTTGGAGGGGTCAGGCTGTGTGGGTGCTGAGGGTGAGAAACCAAGTGGGCGGTGTGGATGCTGAGGGTGAGAAACCAAGTGGAAATGGACTTACCCCGTTAAGAAGGGTTCTTCTATTTATAGTCAAAACACGGGGCTCAAGGGCCAGTGACTGCCTGTGGGCTTCCCCGAATATTCTTAAAGCCTTTTGGGGGATAAGGCCCCCCAAATAGTGCTGGCTCACTGTTCCTCCTACGGTCCCCACCCCCACACTTAACCCGCTTCCCTTTTTTAATACAGTCCCAGAGACTGGTATTGGACAGGGGAGGGAAAGGTGGAGAATCTGTTCTGCAGAAGGAGTGGGAAGCGAGGTAGGGGATGGGTTGGGGGCTGGGCACCTGCTTCCCTGGCGGCTGGAGGGCCCTGTGGGAGCCGGCGCTGGGCGGGGGGCCTGGTTCTCATGGTGTTTTCCGTGAGGAAGCTTGCCTTTTCTCTCTCAAGATCTCTGACCGAGAAAGGGACTTAAGGAAAGTTGGAAAGCGGTATCAATAACTTCCTGCATCTGTGAGGGGAGCAGGAGAAAGGCTGGGGAAACCAGGCGGGGAATTCCCTTGGGAAGCCGAGGGTTGGTCTCTCCCAGAGACACACGATGGCCAATGCAATAACTCCTAGTTAATATCCCGCCCCAGGCAAAGTCAATAATTGCTCTGGGCAGTTCTGCAGGTGTTGCGAGCCAGCGCCGGTGGAGCAGAAAGCCTTGGCCTGGGAAGGGGCCGGTGCCAGGGAGGATGCCCTCCTGACCCCCAGCAGGTCTGCAGGCCGTGAGTGCCGAGTCCTGAGCCTGCCCCTCTTCGCCCCCTTCCAGGACAGTCATGCTGCAGCTGAAGAGCTCCCTGATTCTCGCGGCCTACGTCATCATCTTCGTCACCGGCCTGCCCGCAAACCTCCTGGCCCTGCGGGCCTTCCTGGGCCGGGTGCGGCAGCCCCACCCCGCACCTGTCCACATCCTCCTGCTGAGCCTCACGCTGGCGGACCTGCTGCTGCTGCTGCTGCTGCCCTTCAAGATCGCCGAGGCGGCGTCTGACTTCTTCTGGTACCTGCCCAACCTCGTCTGCGCCCTCACGGGCTTCGGCTTCTACAGCAGCATCTACTGCAGCACGTGGCTCCTGGCGGGCATCAGCATCGAGCGCTACCTGGGGGTGGCCTTCCCCGTGCGCTACAAGCTGTCCCGCCGGCCCCTGTATGGGGTGATCGCTGCTCTCATCGCCTGGGTCATGTCCTTTGGTCACTGCACCATCGTGATCATCGCCCAGTACTGGAACTCAACCCAGAAGGCCACGAATTCCGTCGAACCCACCTGCTACGAGGACTTCTCCGATGAACAGCTGAGGTTCGTGCTTCCCGTGCGCCTGGAGCTGTGCCTGGTCCTGTTTTTCATCCCCATGGCGGTCACCATCTTCTGCTACTGGCGCTTCGTGTGGATCATGCTCACCCAGCCCCACGTGGGGGCCCACAGGCGGCGCCGAGCTGTGGGGCTGGCTGTCGTGACCCTCCTGAATTTCCTGGTGTGTTTCGGGCCTTACAACGTGTCCCACCTGGTGGGCTACTACATGAAGAAAAGCCCCAAGTGGCGAGCGGAGGCGGTGGTGCTGAGCTCCCTCAACGCCAGCCTGGACCCCCTGCTTTTCTATTTCTCGTCTTCGGATGTGCGCAGGGCCTTCGGAAAAGGCCTTCAGATACTGAGGCATCAGGGCTCCTCTCTGCTGGGACAAAGAGGCAGAGATGTAGCCGAGGTGACAAATGGGGACAGGGGTGTGAGTCAAGCAGAGGGAGTACCGAGTTCTGACTTCACCACAGACTAGGGGTGTCCCTGGATCTTCGGAGGCGCTGGAGGCTACTCATGGGCTGAGCAGGCTGGGAGAGGGAGGGCAGGAGGGTTCCGAGCAGGAGCCCTCAGTCCACGACTGCGACTGGACAGGTCTCTCTCGGCAGCTGGCTATCCCTTCCCGACTGAATCTTTCTTCCCAAAGGAACTCAGCTCCCTGGCACAAGAAGCGATGGGTAGGGAGACAAGCACTGTCAGGCCGAGTTTTAGATGCAGTGTGGCTAATACGATTTCAGCCCTTGCGAGGTGGCTGGTAGCTGGGGGTGATCAGGGAGAATCCTGAAGCAATCTTGCCACAAGCTTTGAAACAACGTCTAGACGCTGGTCTAGCTGTTGAGGCTGGAAAGAAGCCAATGGGAAAGAGATGGAAGAGAAATACTAAATGAGGTCAAAGAAGACTCAGGAAAGTTCTGAGCCAAGGGAACTAGGAGGGGCTGGGGCCTTGGGTCTCTAATGCTCTAGATTTACAATGTATTGGTCAGACCTGCTGCTTTGTAACTGTGCTCCAGGCGTCTTCACATGTGTATCTTGTCTCCCCCATTAAACTGGGAACTTCCTGAGGTCCGGGTCTTGTCTTCTTCCCCGTGGCACCCTGTGCAGATCAGGATACAGCTGGGCATCCTTCAGTCAGAGCTCAAGACTGACTAGCCCAGGAATAGACACCCTGGTCTGGCAGATCGAAAATAAAGATGATAAAACTCTGAAGTGAGTGTCCCAAATTTTTGTAACATTTCTGCAGGCACGGGGAGGGCAAAAATGGGATGAAGAAGCAGACTGAGCAGCAGAGGGGGAAGGTGGTGCGTCTGAAACCACAGAAACATTAAGGTAAAGATGTAATGAGAGTGGATTAAGTGAGGGAACTGATGTAATCCTGTTTAGACTGAGGAACAGAGACTGGATTTAGAAAGAGAACCTGGGCCGAGTCCTGACTCAGTTATCAGGGTGGCACAGGGGGCTTAAAATATCCAACTCTCCTGCTTAGAAACCTGCTGGGTTTCTAACAAAACACATTCAATGCCATTCTTAGCATCAAAAGTTTTCCTCTCAGGAACTCGAATCACATCATTCCATTACCTGCCCTGTACCCTCTCTCCGGTCCCAATTCCATCTACCGAACTCATCTCTCCACAATAGGGACCCCTAGACCACTCTTTCTAGGTAGCTGACCCTCCAGGCCCCAGCCTAGTGTTTGCAACAGAGGCTATACATCAGAATTACATGTAGAGATATAAAAATAATACAAATGTACTGACTCA